GTTTAAAAACCTTTAGTCAGGCAGAGGAGGCTTCCTCAGCCTGACAAACAAATTTTTAAACCCAAAAGCTTGCTATTAAAAAAAAATTCTCCAACTACTTAAGTTGGTCTAATAAAAAAATAGATTCACCCAAAGAACCTAGTCATTACTGCACATTTATTTAGTACTTGTGTAAGTACTGCACAGTAGCACTAGCAAACACTTTTAAGGTGATGCTACTATGGAGTAGCCTAATACTACTGGGCAGTATGTATTGTGACAAAAACTGCGAGATACTACTGCGCGGTAGTATCAGGCTACTGCACAGTCAGTGTCTCGTAAACAAACTATACAATACACCCGATTTCTATCCTGAATTTGTGTACTTCTGGTTTCCAGATATCGGATTTAATTATGTCCATGTCTGCTAAAGGAGGAGCTTTCCATCTTAAGTAAGTTCTCCATATAGGCACCCAAGTGACATGATCAGTCTTAACTTTCTCCTTGGGAAGCAAAACAGATTGACGTTCTTTAGGTTTACATTATAGCATACTATCAAAAAATAGTAAGAAATGCAAATAACTGCCTTTCTAAGAGTTGTTTATAGCTAGTAGTTGACCCAATATCCTTATTTTAAAATGAAAAGAAAAAGCTTTTACAAAGCTTTAGTCTCACCACATGAAAGAAGGAAACTTGTTATGAAGCTTTAATCCACAGTGGGTTGAGACATGTGGAATGCAGCCCAAGAATGACGACAGGAGATCCATGGTTTAAGTGGGCAAATTTTGGGACCAGTCCAGGTTTAAGTAGTAGGCATATTGGCTAACTTGTGGAGACTATGTAGAAAGCATCTGAACCATAGGGTGAGCAATAACCCCTTCCCTCTCTCCAGTATATCAGCCACATACTGCTACTACAAGCATCTTCCAGCAACTGCTTTCAGGCTGATGTTGACAGGGGGAAATGGGAACCATAAGCAAGTTCAGTGAGTCTTCTCTTGCGTGCAACAGACAATGAAACAAACAAAAACAAACAAAAAACAAAAAAGGTTACATATGAACGTGACAACATTGCTTAGAGTCACTAAGATCGGTGACAGCAGACCCTCCTTCCACCATTAGATTATAAAGAACAGTATTTTGGCAGGTGTCCCCTAAAGCCAGATGTGTTTATTTTAACCTTAACCTGTCAGTTGGCATTTTAAACTTGCTTGCAGCCAGCCCTACAAGACTCTTAGCAAGAGCTTACTGAAGCTTGGTGCTGGAAAAAGAAAGTGAAAAGGAGAAATGGGAGAGACCTGAATATTTATCCATCTTGCTACTCTGCAGGGCTTAGCAAGTCTCTGCCACAGTAGGTTATTTTTGGCCTGTAACAAAGGCTGGCTTGCCAGAGTCAGGACCCACAGCTCAGGATGGCTGCCAATACAAGGGCTAGATATGACCCCTTAAGAAAACTTGGAAGAAAAGAAAGGTTACTTCCCTTCCCGTATCATGTAGCAAATCCACAACCATTACTAACAGGATTGGTTCCTTATGAATTTTTATGGAAATTTCCTAATAGAAGCACCTTGTAAAATTAAGTGGGAGGACTGGCATGTCTCAGATTGATTTTCTTCTTCAATGTCCCACAAGCCACTAGCCCCTGGAGAAAAATGACAGGTGGATTAGATCACCATCCAACTTGAAGCGTGTGGCTCTTACTTTTGACAGAGTGAAGTGAGGATCAGATTGATCCTCCACATGAACCTCAGAAGAAAGCTCCACTAAATTGTGCGGGCAAGCTTTGCCCTTGTGGCAAACTTTGCCCTCCTGGGTGAGGGAGATCTCTTGCCCTCCATCAATGCTGATCTTGTGAAGGAACACCTTGAGAGGCTGGATACCTTCAAGTCAGCTGGCCCTGACAATCTACATCCCAGGGTACTCAAGGAACTGGCGAGCATCATAGCCCAGCCCCTAGCACGGATCTTCAAGAACTCCTGGCGCTCTGGTGAAGTGCCCAAAGACTGAAAGAAGGCCAATGCGGTGCCTATCTTCAAGAAAGGGAGGAAAGTGGCAAACTACAGGCCCATCAGCCTGACCTCTATCCTGGGGAAGGTCTTAGAAAAGTTTATTAAAGAGGCCATCCTTAATGGACTGGCTGATGCCAACATCCTGAGGGATAGCCAGCACGGGTTTGTTGCGGGTAGGTCTTGCTTGACCAATCTCATTTCCTTTTATGACCAGGTGACCCATCACCTGGACAAGGGAGAAGAGATTGATGTCATATATCTTGACTTCAAAAAAAGCCTTCCATCTGGTATCCCATGATCACCTCTTGGCAAAACTAGTCAATTGTGGCCTTGGGTTCACCATGATCCGCTGGCTGGAAAATTGGCTCCATGGTCGGACCCAGAGGGTGATAATTGACGGAAGTCAATCGTCGTGGTGCCCTGTGACCAGTGGGTTTCTCCAAGGCTCTGTCCTTGGACCCATATTGTTCAACATCTTCATTAATGATGTGGACAGGGGAGTCAGAAACGGACTGGCCAAGTTCGCCGATAACATCAAACTTTGGGGCAAAGCATCCACACCTGAAGACAGTAGGGCAATCCAGGCTGACCTGGACAGGCTCAGTAAATGGGTGGACGAGAACCTGATGGTGTTTAACACTGAAAAATGCAAGGTTCTCCACCTTGGGAGGAAAAACCTGCAGCATCCTTATAGGCTTGGCAGTGCTATGCTGGCTAGCACTATGGAAGGAAGAGACTTGGGGGTCATCATCGACCACAAGATGAACATGAGCCTTCAGTGCGATGCTGCAGCTAGTAAAGTGACCAAAACGCTGGCTTGCATCCATAGATGCTTCTCAAGCAAATCCCTTAGCCTGGAAAAGCGCAGGCTCAGTGGTAATCTGATGGCCACCTATAAGTTTATCAGGGGTGACCACCAGTATCTGGGGGAACGTTAGTTCACCAGAGCACCCCAAGGGATGACGAGGTCAAACGGTTATAAACTACTGCAAGACTGTTTCAGGCTGGACATAAGGAAGAATTTCTTTACTGTCCGAGCCCCCAATGTCTGAATAGCCTGCCATCGGAGGTGGTTCAAGCACCTACACTGAACACCTTCAAGAGAAATTTGGATGCTTATCTTGCTGGGATCCTATGACTCCAGCTGACTTCCTGCCCCTTGGACAGGGGGCTGGACTCAATGATCTTCCAAGGTCCCTTCCAGCCCTAATGTCTATGAAACCTATGAAACACTTCATTGTTCCAGAGAAACCAGTAACTTGTAGGTGGCTGCAGTCCCAAGTCAGAACTCGGGGTACTGGCTCTTTACTTAACACCTCAAAAAAACAAAGGAAGCAGGCCTTGAGCTTAGCCAGAAGAGCCACTTGAAAAAGAGTGGTACCTACTGACACTGCTTTATAGGAGCCATCCAAAAGTAATTTTTAAATTGTGAACTGCCTTGGTCTCACGTATCCCTGAACAGAAGCCAGGTTTGGGAAGCTTCAGGCTCATTATTTGGTATTTGAACTACTGTTTTTTGTTAGTTTCCTTTGCAACAACACATTCGTTTGGAATCAAGCTAGTAATCAAATGTCTTGTGCAAGATGAACCAGCCACTGGAGTACTTAAATTTTCTTTGGGCCCAGTACCACTTCTGCCTTGTTTTATATAAGCAATATAGCTGGGGTGGGGCTTTTCCACAGCTCTGAACCCAGCTAACTAGTTTGCTTTTCTGGCTAAGCAACAACAAGCAGTCTACTTCGATCAGATTCCATGGCACTGCATATACCCATGAGAACCTTAGTGCAAAGTCTGAATGCTTCTCAAGATAATCAAGTCATTACACAGATATAGAAAAACCATGTTCCTTATCAATTAATGGATGACTGAGGCATAAATGTATATTTTATAGTTTTTAGCCTAATATATGCATATCCTTACAAATCCAACATTACTTAACTTCCTATAGTGTATCATTGAACTTACTAACCTGTCAGAATAGATGGGAATAGTTACCAGGCTCCATCTATCCAAAGTGAATTTTTTTTTACTTGGGGAAAGAAGGCATGTGGAAGCTTGATGGTCCGGTCTGAGGAAATATCTTCCTTTCAGAAGTTGGATTTGGTGGTAAGAAATTGTGCATATTTGCTAGGCAAAAGAAAACTGAAAATCCAGGGAGACCTTAAAGTTTGTTCACAAGACAAATTAATGCCTCCCCTTAATCCAAGTGCTTTACATATTAAAAAGATAGAAAACCATCTATGGTAAAGGCTGTAATTTCTTAATTTGTTTTGGAATAGAGTGTAGCATGTCTGCCAAATGCTTTCACTGTTCCCTCTATTTGAGATTTTCTACGTGTTACACAACAACTGCCCATTGCCAGATGACAACATTTTAGACAACTGTAAAAACATTGGTCTCAAAGACCCTGGTTCCTTCCTTCCTTCTTGCATCCTTGTGCAAGGTATGTAGCAGAATTCACAAATTTGTTGAAGTCTGACAGTGCCACACATGAACACTTCTGCTAGGGCCTCAAACTTGTGACCTCTGGGCTGTCAACTGTGTGAATTAGCACCCATGTCACCCCAGAGCCATGGTTTGTGTGTAAAGTCAATGACCCACTCTGTGCTTTCTATTGAAAAACTTAAAGCTAAAAGTGATACTTGGAAACCTGCACAGCAGAGAAACCTCAGAAGCCAGGATATAACAACACTTTCCCTAGAAGAGTTGTAGAGAATTTCTTTACTGCCAAAGCACTCATTTATCATATGCCAAAATAACCAGAGCAGTGGGTTTATTCTGAATGGTCAGATTTACGAACAACCACTTCTGTAGTCCTCTGCTATTAATTATTGGACATCTCACCACAGGGAATTAGGATGCTAAGTTTTCAGGCCAATTCTGGTTATATCCAAGCCAAATTTCAAGCTATTTTCAACCTTACAAATCTCTGCCCCCGCCCCCCATTTAACCCTCCTGTCCCACAAGATTCAGATTTTAAAAGACTAAACAGAGAAAGACAGCATTCTTACCTTTTCATAATGGTTAGATCATCTTTAATTCTAGCACCTGAAGTTATACAAGGGTTTGCTTAATAATCAAACTTCATAGAACCATTGTACACATTCAATAAGGTGACAACTGTGCAATACCACTCAGTATTTCAAGATCAGGGAACATACTCTTGAATTGTTTAAACACAATCCACAGAAGTCAAAATTCAAAAACCATCCACAGTTAAACTAAAACAGTCAGTTAAAAGTCTTACAGTTTAATAATTCACATAATAGTCAGTCTATAGTAAGTGATACTGAAAGTGATTTGAAAAAACACTAAATTTTACTCTACAGGTATGTTGGGCAGGCACATGATTGGCCACTGCTGGGTACAACCAGAACATTGAGGAGAAGTTCTACCACAGTTCGGCAAATCCCACATTATTTTGTCAGTTAAAAGTGAACTGTGAGAATTAAATACTCATCTTTACATATACACAAGTTATGCTGTGAAAGCATATTTGCTTACAAACATATAAAAATACTTGTTAACTAGTTTGATAAGAAAATAATGTATAAAAGTATATAGCAAAAACATTTAATCATCTCTGACAATGGAAAGATCAAATTCATCTTTTATATTACATGAGAAAAAAAAACCAGCTACAGTTTTAAATTTTCTTGACTCCCTTACCCAGAAATACAAAGGAAGACACATGAATCTTTTTCCAATATTATGTAAAATTTTCCAATTATCGAAGTGCCGAAATCCAGAAGGAGCTCAGGTATTTGGCCATATTATAATAGTAGTAATAGTAGTAGTAGTAGTAGTAGTAATCTGGATCCATAAAATAAATATAGTAGACTGTTTTGGCCACTGAAGAAAAGCTGCAGCGTAAACAAGAGCTGAAACATTTTTGCTAACAATAGCATTCAGTGTTGGTTTCTTAAGGCTAGCTGAATTGTAAAGTCTAACTTAACCTAAGGGCAAGAAGCCAATTAACCCTTAGTTTAAAAACAACAAAAACTATGCTCTATACTTTGATTCGAGGTCTCCTTGATAACAGCTAATGAAATACCAAGTGAAAATAAATTAATTCACAAAAAGATAACTTATAAGAAACTCAAAACACCTTGTCCTCCAAGGTTTTGATTCATCTCCTTCATGAATAGGCTCCACAAGGTGCAAGCTCTAACAGGGAGAGAAAGGAGGACTTGTGGTATTAAAGAAGCAGCCTTAGTGTTTTGCTTTGAAGTCTGCCCTGAGATGACCGAGCCGTCTTCAAGGACTGTATTCAGCCAGCTTCTTGGACTAAGGCTATTTTGGTGACCCATTTATAGGACATGCACATACAAGGCTAGACAGATACCAAAAGTGATCTAAAATGGTGAAAAGAGAAATAAATCTGGCAGTTGATAGCTTGATTCTTGGGATTCTTAAAAAATAACACAATGGCAGCCTTTCTTGTCTTTTTCTTTCCGTGTTGGCTCTGGCGAAGGAGGACACTCTTGCTCTTGAAATTTCCTGCAAAAATGAATTTCATGTTAAGTTTGTTTAGTCCAATTCAAACCTTCTATATGACTTTAGTAACTTGTTGCTGATGCCACTGCAACAGCAAAACTGATCTTAACAGCTCTGTTAAGTTGTACTGTTTATACTATAGTAGCACTTTAGGACTGGGACCCATGGTGTTACGGTCTATAAAAACATAACAAAAGAGAGCTCTGCTTAGAAAATTTGGCTAATGCATACTAATGTACAAGTTTACTACATAACTTCATGTCATTCGCTTTTGTTGACCAGCCGGGTTTTCAGGACAAGTCTAGTTCTTAGTCTTCTAAATATCCATGGGGCAGGGGACAAGGAAGTAGGTTGCTGTGGTGTAACCAAGGACTGGGCAAGTACTACGTTATGTTCACAGCATTCCTAGATGAAAATAACCATGACCCTTCCTAGGGGTGCACCAATACAGATTTTTGGGGCCAATATCGACAGTCGAATTTTAAGGAGGTGTATCGGCCAATACTGATTGGATTTCCGATACCAAACCAGCACCTTGAAGAGCTGCATGCAGCTGGCAAGTCTGTTGTGGTGGAAGGGGAGTGGGGAGGGAAGGGGTGTGGGGGGAGGGGCAGATCAAGGCCCCCACAGGGAGGGAGGAGTGGGGCTGGGGCAAGTGCTGCCCTGCTGGGGCAGATGCGGGACCAAGCCGCAGCTCATCCAGGGGGGGGGGTGTTCTCTTTTCATGACAAAAAGACAGTTCTCCTGAATATCCTTTTCTCCTTATGCTGGTTTCCCATGGTATTTTACCTAGCAATTCTAAGTCTACTGACTTCTGCTTTCTTGGAGTACATTGGTGTTTATTCTGCTACTCTGCCTCTTTCCATTTAGAAGAAACAAAATCAGCATTTTGTCATCACCATCTGCTGATGCCTTCTGATTCACTTTCACTGATTGTCATTTACCATATTTACCTGAATCCAAGATGACTTTGAATTTAGGAAGATACCCTAGTAATTAGATTCTATACATGGAAAATGTACAGGTGTTATAATTTTCATGTATATAATCTAATTATTGGAAGGTCATCTTGAAAATCGGGTCTCCCAACCGCTGCAGCTGGGAAAGCAGCAGCCAGAGGGCAGGGAGACCTCCCCACTTGTTCCCCCTACAGTGTTTATGCTCCTGCTGCCTGCATCTCCAACCTTTGTCCCTTCCCCACACTGCAACCTCTGCTCCCTCTCCAACCCCCATTGCTTACTGTCAGGTGCAGCTCCAGCTCCAATCACTCCCAGGCATGGAGCACATGCAAGTTCTGGTACTGCCTGGCCATGCAACAGCTGTGAACTACTGCTACTGCATGGCCAGGCAGGGACCACAGCTTGCTCCATGCCCAGGAGAGAACGGAGCCGGAGCTACAGCTGCTCCCGGCAGTAAACAGCAAGGACAAGAGGGTAGAAGCTTAAGGGGAGCAGGAAATAGGCAGCTGCTGCAGCTCTGATTGATTCAACCCAGGCCGAGCCAGTTGGAGCCACAGCAGCTGCTTGCCCCTCCCCACTTCACCTTGGACTTGAATCCAAGATGCAGGGCTCCTCCCATATTGAATGGGGGGGAGGGGGGAGAACCCTCATTTTGATTTCAAGTAAACCAAATGCACAGAATACAACCCAACAGGGAGGAAGTCGAGTAAGAACAGGCAAAGGCCAGGAACAATAAAATATGCAACCCAACTGCTGCTCTTTCTTCAATGCTGCCTGTAGACTAACCCATTTCCCCCCCCCCTTCTTAAGTCCTGGTTAAATTAGCCAGGTTGGAGTATTAGAGCTTCTGGGAGGGAGAGGAGGAGGGAGCAAGCACTCGCAAGAGCGACTGCAGCCCACTTCTCCTGACTGGCATAATGAGAAACGATTTAAAAGGCAGAGAGCATAAGAACATGAGTTTGTGTGCAGGGGACCGAAGGGGAAGAAATTTGAAGGAGTTTGCATGGGTGGGTGAAGTGTTTTTACAAGGAGCACACATGCATACTTCCATACTTTAAAAACAGAAATTTGCAGAGCCGCTTCCCAGTGGCTATCCTACTTATCCCTCAAAGCATCCTCCTCTGTAGACAAAAATTCTCACTTGTGCTACCAACTCCCCCTCCCTACCTTATGGTCCAGGTTTTATTTTTTCCCCTTCACATCCTGTTTTAATAGAACTGGCTAAGGCACTTATGGAAGGGAAAACCAGTTTGTGCATGGTAAGGGGCTGGCATGTCTGGAACTGATTGCCATAGACTACTGCTGGCTCTGTTCAAGGCATATAAAATTATCATCTTCTCAACTTTTTCACTGTAACTTTGTATAGAGAAAACAAGCTATTTCTAAAAAGCTGTATAATTCTCCACAGAAGAGTTACTTGTTAAAGTCTCGTATGATATTAGAGCTTTCTGGACAAGTATACTTCATGGCCAATGCACCTGTTTTGGAACCTTTCCAGACTGGGGCATGGTAGGGGATTCAATATCTAAAGCATTATGGGAGATTCAATGTCTAACTCCATCGTGATGCATTAGAGATAAAGCTTAATGTTTTGACTACGTGAACGGTTCAGGGCCCCACTGAGATCTAACCTGCACACAGTGTTTTCTTAAGAAAGGTAATCTTGACTTTACCAAGAGATGCTCTGTTAATGTTCATTTTGTTAAAATCTTTAAAGTTAAACAACTTTCACTTACGGTATGCTCAATACCCAACACCAGAAGTCTTGAGATTAAGGCAGCACTTGCTCAAATTGACACAGCATATATCCATTAAATAGCCTTTCCTAATATGTACCTCTCTCAAAGGCAGTAGAGCATCAGCTGACATTTACAGTGCACATCTGCAAGCAGAATTTGACCTAGTTTTCCCAGGCTGCTTTTTCCTCTGAGACAGCAGTCATTAAAACTCAGAATATCAAAGTTCTTGTAAAACACTTCTCCTACCTTATAACTCTGACAAGTTCATGAAAAGCTTGGTCTACATTCAATCGTATTTTTGCTGAGGCTTCCATATATGTTACTTTAAGTTGTCGTGCTAGCTGCTGACCCTCCTCTTGTGTTACCTGAAACAATAAATAACCATTAAAAATAAGCTTCAAAACATTTTACTGACATGTCCCAAATGACACACTTACCAATGTTTGCATACAAATGTATGGCTGTATCCCTGTAGTGTTTCATATACAATATTGTGCTATCAGCGTTCAATAGTTTAATACTTGTTGACATTACCCAACCTCCCCCATGCTAACAAATAAACAAGCTACCTACACCACACACAGAAAGAACTTATATTTGAAACAGATTTTTTAGTGGAGTGATTCAGAAGAATCTCACAGCTCCTACAAGCCATTTTACATTTTCTGCAACAGTTCACGTGATCAGGTTTTTCTCCTCAACTAGGAAGACCTGAATCCCACTATCTCACTCAAACCAAAACATAACTCTAGTCTGCTAAATAATGTGGCAATCCCAACAACGCCTTTCAGTTTTGGTTAAAGTTCTCCCTCCTTTCCACTGTCCCAACCAAACTTGAGAGTAAAAAAGCTACACTTGGTTTTTACAAAGCAAAATTAATGAACTTTTTTGAACAAGACAGCAATGCTGAAAAGCCAAACAGTTGCTCTTTGTGTATGTGTCAAATGAAGCAGGGATGCTTCAGCATCTGGTTTAAATTCCATAAGACCACCAAAAGGGCAGTAAGTCTAGATATGTAAGCCCAGTCTAAGAAAATAAAGTAGCACTGCCCTCAAAATACAGTGAATGGCTCAAACAGAAAAACAACGTTTAAGTTATTTCCCCAGGTGAATCAAAGGCAACAAGTAATGCTGACAAAACAGGCCCAAAAACAGCATTTGGCAGATTACCTCTTAAAGTTCTGTTCCCATCACATCCAGGAAAAGGCTGTGTTTTCTTGGCAAAGAGAGCAGGGAGGCTTTGAGACTCAGGAATATTTTTTAAAAGTACCAAAAAGGAGACGGAGGACAGGTAGTTAAAAGGATGGTATGAATATAAAGAGCAGAAAAAAAAAGGAAGCCAGACAGTACTGGTGGCAGCAGCAAGCAGGGCCTTCATCAAGTATAACATTTATTATAGGATAGAAGCTTATGAGAAGTTCAGAAGTGGGGGAGTATAGCTTGGTGGGATGAGGGGGAAGACTTTAACTGCACATGTTGGACAAAAAGGAGGAGGGGAGTGAGCAAGCAAGTCACTTGCTGCAAGTGTAAGCAGAAAAGTTACAATAATCAAGGCTAGAAATATAATATTTAACAGTAGGAATGGAGACAAAAAGGAGCTTTAGAGATAAAAAACTAGCAACAGATTTTGGCAGGGCACAAATAATAAAGGAAGACTCAAAAACTATGCTAATTTAGCTGATAGACAGCAGACTGGGCAGTTGGGAGATGCACAGAGGACTGGGAGCAAGAGTATAAAGTGCAGTTTAATTGGATGCCCAGGAGCCATCTCAAAAAAGACAACCAGCAAAAGGAGACTGGGTAGAGGTGGAAGGTTTGGAGACAGATAGGCTTGGAAGTGGTACAAAATACAAAGGGCAGACGAGAAAAGGGATAAAACTTTTTTGTAACTAAATAGGTTATTTAGTGATAAAATAGAAGCTTGTTACTAAACACATACCATTCAAGTGCACAGTTTAAATCTATGTGGGGATTAAATCAATTTATACAAAAATCTAGACTCCTTGGCAAGTGATCTTTATTTACCACCCTACAAATTGGTATTAAATCTTTGCCAGTAGACTGTTCTTCCAACCCAAAAATATTTAATAGCACTAAGCCAAGAGCAGCTCTCTAAGACCAAATGAAACATTTCCAACAAGCAGACATCCCGACTTCCTATTTGCCCTACACTAAATAAGGTTGGAATCTTGATCTCCATTTGCAGCAGCCTAAAAAGTTGAGATCAGGTCATATTCTTCTGCTGAAAAGTCACCAGATAAGTTCCCTGCCTTCAGACAATTGAAGAACACGGTGCCCAACATTTTCACCCCGCAAACTGGATGAGCAGTGCCAGGTTGGTCCACGGCCCAGATACAATCCATGGGCCCAACCCTGCTGTGCAGGGCTGGGGCCTGATGCAGTCATTGAGCAACGACTCAGCCAGGGCCCAATCTCGTTGCATGGGGTCAGCGAGAGCACCTTTTCAAAGATGAAATGGCATAACACATGCCCACTATAGACGTGCAAAGCAGGCCCTATTCAATTTGGATTCAGCCTGAATCCGGGACAGCAATTTGATTCATTGATTCAGATCACTGTCCCCAATTCATTTTGGCTGAATCTGAAGATTCAATGCTGATTCAGAGAATCAGCAATTCAGAGACAGACACAGCTTTAAATGTTTTTTCTACATACCTCGAAGTACCAGTGCGGCTTGTGAACACTGCAATGCTGGGGCCAGTCCACTTCTGGGTGCTCTAGGGAATGTGCAGCGGGGCTCCCATTCCCCTTGGCTTGGTGATCGGCCGCAGGGGGGCCCCAGATGCCCACTCCCCAGACCCAGGAGGCACCAGGTGCCCGGGGGGGGAAGGGTGCAGCACGCTCCCCAGAGGACCCAGAAGTGTTTCTGGTCTACTTCCTGGTCTGCTGCTGAGCACGCTGGCGGAGTCCCCCGTGCTTCTGTGGGACACTCCATGCGCCCCAGCATCTCAGCATTCACGAGCTGCCTGCTACCTAAAGGTATGTAGAAAAAACATTTAAAGCTGTGTCTGAATCATCGAAACTTTCTGAATTGATTCAGAGGGTTCCGATTCAATTCGGAGAGATTAAAAGGTCCTCTGGTTCGATTCAGATTTGGAGATTCAGCCAACAAATTGGGCTGAATCCCTGCTGAATTGAAAATTGGGGACCAAAGCTTTGCACAGCCCTAATGTTCACCACCCCACACCAGGGGCATGCCGGAGCAGAGCAGTGTCAGATGCAGACTGCCCACTGCAAGCTCAGGGCATTCCCAGCTTGCTGCCTCCCCTCCCCTCCCCACCCCACGAGCCCCATGCCAGCCACGCACCCCCTACCTGCCTGGGAGCAGCAGGTGGGAGCACAATACCATGCTGCTGCCGGGCAGGCAAAGGGTGGTCCCACCACAGCGGTGTGACCAGCGCAGAGCTCCCAGGGGACAGCAGCAGGGCAGGGAGCCCCAAGCCCACAGCAGCCATCCTGCATCTGCCCCAGCACAAATCTGGCAGGGGGCACGTGCCCCCCCCATGCCCACCACCCTGGAGTGTGTGCAGCAGCAGGGAGTCCTGGGAATTCAATGCTAAGAATTTAATTGAAATAAGTAGTAAGTGACCTGACAGGGTGAAAAATATTAGAGATCATTACAAAAGATGGAAAGGCAGAGAAAGCATGGAGCCAGTTAAGAAGTGTGAAGTCCAGAAGGGAAAAATGTACACAGAAGAGAGCGACCCCTGCTCTAAGGAAATCAGTTGGCAGCTTACAGCCCATGAGCCAGATTCAGCCTGCAGAGTCATGAATTTGGCAGCATTCAGTGGAAGGAAAGCTCTGCTGGCATTGCACCACAGCCAGGTGATGGGAAGAAGCACCAAGAGGCAGCCAGCTCCTAGCGCCAGCCTGCTTCAGAGCTCAGTCATTATGGCTGCTGCTGCTAGAAAAATATTGCTGACCTCCAGGCATGATTGCCCACTGTCTATAAATTTACACAGATTTAATAAAAACAAGGATAAAAATACTAACTTGTAAAATCTGTAAAAAAAACTGAGATAAGAAACTGAGCTTAGTTGAGGCAGGATGCAAGTGTTGATAGAGCAGAGCAGCACCAGCTTGTCTCCAAGTGGGAGCATAGCTTGGCACCCTGCAAAAAGCAATCTGTCAGGGCTTTGTGACCCTTAAGGGATCCTCTGTAGCCCCCTCCCCCAGCCACATGCTGCCACTGTGTCCAGTTGTCACTTGCCTGTAATGCCTGCTCACCTGGAAAGTAGGCAGGTCTGTGCGACCCCCAGGCAGTCTGACACACCTGTGAGAGAGGGAGGGGGCAGTGCAGCCAGGACAGAGCTGCAGGCCAGACAGGCAACAGGTGGGAATTAGTGCCAGGATGGCAGGGTGGGGGTAGCACAGTGCAGAGTGTGATCGAGGGTTCCAGGATGTGGTGGCAAGGAACTCCTGGGGTGTAAAACCATTGTTCCAGTCACATAAAAGATTGAGACTATTAAATGCTTAGGTTTCACTTAAATGTTTAATGGTTAAGATTTTTTTCTAAGGTTCCATTTATACCTCTTCCCTGTAGTAAGTCATGTTTTAATTGACCATTGCTTGCAAGCAAGAAAGTTTGTTTGTGTAAGAACATCCAGTTAAAATGCATCTTCCCAGGTCTCTGGGTGGGGGCGTGAGCCAGATTTAGAAAGCTGGGATTGAACTTCTAAATTCAAACCCAGCCTTCGTTAATGCTGTCCAAAACCTGGCAAAAGGGTTACATTTACATTATGTAAAATATGTGTCAGTAAAAGAATGTGTCCATAAAAAGTTTGCAACTTGTCAGAAAACAAGCAAACAGAGACACACCAACCAAAACCTCGCCTCCTTTCTTGGATGGCAACCTTGCCCACTGGGCTCGGGGAGCTTGTAGCCATGGTGTCAAAAAAGGTTAAGACTGCCCTGGAGATGTAACTGAACTTGTTAAAAATATCCTATGTGTATCAGTTAGATAAAAGGTTACAATATGCAGAATCATCATTAGCAGCAGCCCAGTTTTAGGAGACCATGAAGATTGCGCCATTGGTGGGGTCGCTGAGTACCACCACAGCTTTTTGAATGGCTGAATCTGACGCGTGACAAACAGACCCGCTAGCAAGTTTGCGCCAGCATGCCAAGTAGCACATTATTTGGCCTGCCACCTCTGATGCCTCTTCTCCACCTCATCATTGACCTGCTCCATCTCAAAGTGAAGCGGGTGCTGCTTCATGGAAGCTTTCCATGCATAGCAGTTCAAAGCAATTGATTCCCAGCATTAGCCATCAACATGCAGCTCACGAAGGTTTTTCTTGCAAACATCAACAAAACAGAGTCTGGGCCACCAAGTTGACATTTGG